TGCTTTTTCAGTGTTTATGCTTGTACAATGACTTCTCCTTTGAGAGTAAAATGTTAGAGGATAAACGAGCAGTGCTTCATGGAAAGTAGGTTCAAAAAGTGATAAAAATGTGTCTTGTGTCATAACCAGGAAGTTAAGTGGGAAACAATTCAGAAATCGATGTGGGATAAGGGGAGGACTTTGAAGTGTGGTTCAAAGAACACTGATTGCCACCTCGGGAGATCTAGTCCTGGCTGTGATGCTGGTAGTAGACCTCAGAGCCCGCATTCTCTTACATCTAAGGAGAGTTAGTTGGATTAAATGATATCCTATATCTCCACCAACCCTAATGTTCCAGAAGGTAGTTCCTCAAGGTCAGGGTCACTGGCCCATAGTGGGTACACAAGGAGTACTATTGAAGGAAGCGATGCGCTGCAGCCAGGGACAACCAGGAACACACCTGAAATTGAATGTGTTGGGTTGACTTGTTGCAACGAGGGAGAATGCACTGCATGGGACCAAGGGCCATCTCAGTAAAAGGGTGCTTGAAAGGGGTCGTAGGATGTAGGTTTACGTTAGGTGATTCGAGGGATAACTTAAAGAAGTGGGACTTTGCTCTAGATTGGAAGCTGTCAGGAAGCAAAGGTCATTCTGTGATTGAGTATATTATAAATCCTATGTGGAAGGAGGAAAAACTAGAGAGGCTAGTGCCATAATTGGTAAAGAAGCACAGTCATTTATATTCGCCAGATTAGAGAGATGTTTGGTCATTTTTGTGGTTGGACAGTGTTTGTGTTTAGATGTCAGACCTCAGTGGTCTCGTTTCTGTCATGATTCATCATGGTGATAGAGTGGCTTTGCCGGATATTGATGTTTTGGGAAGTTGTTAATGTTCAACGGGAGAATACTGGGGCCTAGCTGTGAGTGCCAGGCCAGTTTCTCCCAACACTGGGGCCTGGCCGATAGGAGCAGGCTAGCTCCCACGTATCAGGGACTGCTTTCCTCTTTCTCACAAATAAGCTAATGGAATAAATAAATAAATAAAATGGAAGCCATTTTATTTGATGTGGATAAGCATGTAATAAATGTGTCCTTTTCCAAAAGTTAGAGTGAAGCATATTTGGTTCTCAACTTTTTTCTAAAATACAGTTAAGATGGACTAAATTTTAGGTGTTAGAAAACTAAAAGAGAATTATATATATATGTTTTTTTAATGTATTTATTTTTGGCTGTGTTGGGTCTTTGTTGCTGCACGTGGGCTTTCTCTGGTTGCGGCGAGCAGGGGCTACTCTTCATTGCGGTGTGTGTGCTTCTCATTGCAGTGGCTTCTCTTGTTGCAGAGCGTGGGCTCTAGGTGCACGGGCTTCAGTAGCTGGGGTGCGCGGGCTTAGTTGCTTCGCAGCACGTGGGATCTTCCCGAACCAGGGCTCAAACCTGTGTCCTCTGCATCGGCAGGCGGATTCTTAACCACTGTGCCACCAGGGAAGCAGTAGAATTATATATTTTTCAAACCTTTCTGGAGTCATGATTTTTTTCTAAGTTAACTTTTAATAGGAAATGTCATACTACATGTTAATAATAGTTCAGAGATTCAAAAGAGTATGCATATTGCTGGTAGGAGGGCAAAAAATGATTCCGTCCCTAAAAAGGGCAACATGGTATTATATATATATATATATATATATATATATATATATATATATATATAAAAAATGAAAAAGTACAATACCAAGTGTTAGAGAGGATGTGGAGCAACTGGAACGTTCATGCTCTACTGGTGGGAGTGTCAGGTGTACAGCAAACTGACTATATATATATATTTAATATATTATATATATATAAAAAGCATATTTATATATACATATACATATATATATATGTATATAAAGCATATATATATATATATATATATATATATATATAAAGCATAAGTGAATTGCTCCTTTGATAACACAGTCCCACTTCTGGGAATATGTCCTACAACTCTACCTGTACACGTGCAAAAATGACATACCAAGTTACTCATCATAGCATTGTTTATAAAAGCACAGTCTTGGAAACAACCCAAGTGTCCAGCTGGAGAGGATGGTTACATAAGCTATGATAAATCCACACAGTAAAGTACTGTGTAGCTATAAAAGAAAGAATGAGGAAGCCATCTCTATACTGTTGTGGAAGGATATCCAGGCTATATTGTTTAGTGCAAAAAGCTAGATAGAGGATAGTACTATCTTTTGTAGAAATGAAAGACAAAGAGAATCTATATTCATATTTATTTCTATCTACAAAAATAACACTACAAGAACACACAAGGAAAGAATAAAGTGGTCAACTATAGGGGAAAAAGGTGGACCCAGAATGTGATGGACAGGAATATGAATGAGATAGAAACTTATTTGCCTCTTGAAATATAATTTTAATTCTCAAATTATAAAATGTACTACCTAGTCCAAAAATTTAAATAATTTATGGAAATATATATATATATATATATATATATATATATATATAAATGCAATATATCTTCGACCTCATTCCATTCCCCAGAGATAACCATTTTGATCAGTTTCTTATATAGCTTTTCAGAGTAGTCCATTGTATTAGTCAAGGATCTCAAGAGAAACGGAACCGAGAGGATGTGTGTGTATATAAAATATATGAAAACTGGTAATTTTATATTATGGAAAAAAAGGCATAATTAATATAAAAAGGAAAAAACAGCTTAGAAGTACATTTGATAGTGGTTAATGTTACATTATATAAAGGCTCCCACATATTGAAAAGAAAAACATTGACTCCACAATCACAAGGAGCCAGTTCATGAAAGCAGCCAGGGAGAAAACATTTAAAAAATGTTCAACCCACTACCACTCAAACAAATGCAAAGTGAGTCGGGTAAAACTTAAAATATATATTAAATTCATTTAGAAAAAGAAGGATAAGCAGGATTGTTATGAGACTTAGATGCAAACTGCAATGCTCGTGTCAGAGTAAACTAGTCAGCCTTTCAAGAGCAGTTTGGCAGGATGAATCACAAGCTATAAAATCATGCCCTTTGGCCTAATAATCCCTTTTCTGGGAACTAATCTTGTGGAAATAATTCAAAAGGTGGCAAAAGGCATAGATCATGAGGATGTTCATCATATCGTTGTTTGTATAATCAAAGAAATGGAAAAAACCTAAATATCCCAAAGGCATAGGAATTTGGGTAATTATGGTTTATTACTTTCATGAAATGTAGGCATTAAAAGTCAGTACAAGGGGCTTCCCTGGTGGCACAGTGGTTAAGAATCCGCCTGCCCATGCAGGGGACACGGGTTTGAGCCCTGGTCTGGGAAGATCCCACATGCCGTGGAGCAACTAAGCTTGTGCGCCACAACTACTGAGCCTGCACTCTAGAGCCCGTGAGCCACAACTACTGAGCCTGCGCGCCACAACTACTGAAGCCCGTACTCCTGGAGCCCGTGCTCCGCAACAAAAGCCACTGCAGTGAGATGCCCGCGCACCGCAACGAAGAGTAGCACATGCTTGCCGCAACTAGAGAAAGCCTGCGCGCAGCAACAAAGACCCAACTCAGCCATAAATAAATAAATTTTTTTAAAAGTCAGTACAAGGACTAGCAACATGGCAAACATGCATTATTTTATGTTACATATAACAATTATGTCTTAGCCCTGATAACAATGGAAAGAAAACTGTGTGCATGTGCTCAAGAACAGATAGGACTATAGAAGCTTAAAGACAGTTTGACCAATGGGAATATTAGAATTATAGTGACATTTCTTTTTTGTTTTAATTAATATTTGTCTTAGTTTGTTCAGGTTGCTATAACAGAATACCATAGACTGGGTGGCTTATAAAGAAGAGGTTTATTCTTGACAGTTCTAGAGGCTGGGAAGTCCAGGATCAAGGTGCTGGCAGATTCGGTGTCTTGTGAGGGCTCACTCCGGTTCATAGACGGCTGTCTTTTCACTGTGTTCTCACATGGCACAGGGGGCTAGCCAGCTCGGTGGGGTCTCTTTTAATCCCAATCATGCCTCATAACCTAAGCACCTCTGAAAGGTCCTACATCCAAATACCATCACACTGGGGATTAGATTTCAACATGCAAATTTTAGGGGCACAAAAACATTCAATCTATAGCAATTGTGTTGTAATATTTTTACAATTATAACTTTTAAAAACTTAGCAATAAGTTAGCATCGTCCCAAACAGTAGCCTCAAACTGAAATTACCAGTTTGTAATTAGAAAAGACTTTAAGAATCATTTGATCCTATCTTCCACTCCCCCACTGTGATGGTTGCAGGTGTAGAATCTAAGGTCAGAGGGCTTTTGACTGTTATACATGGGCGGGGGGTGGAGGGATATTGTAGGTGCTGGGACCAAAAGCCCCACCCTCTGCTCAGGAACTAGCCACCTCTCTATTGATTACGTCTGGAGAGAAGCTTCAGATGTTAAATATGTATAAGAGAACAGAGATATTGGAAGCAAACTGCATTCCGATATCAATAACATTGTCTCTTTCTAATGTTAAAATAACAGCTAATACTATCCCTGATATTTTCTAGTTATTAAAGATATTTTATTAAAATTATGATATAATAATGCTTCAATCTACATAAGACCCATTGGAATATTGCTTATCTTTGTTCCCATCTAAAGCTTCAGATTAATTTTTTTCCCCATGAATACAGGTGTCCAATAAACGAAGACCCAGTGAGGAAAAAACATATGGTGTAAATATTTCATTGTGTTTTTCACGTTTATGTCCCATTTCTTGATCTTTCCCTCAGATTGAAAGACATTTTTTCAGTGTCTGTGGACTTTAGCTTCCATTTATTGACTTATTTTCGAAGTTTAGAATGCATTAGCAGAGATTATCTTCAACATGGGAGATTTCCCAATTAGCAAAATGGATTTGCCAAGCAGGAAAAAGATAGCTGTACATGCCCAAGTTCCTACTGGTGCCTGCCAGGAAAGTAGATTTGGTGTTAACCCCTGTGATGAACATGTTTTTCAGGGTGGATCACTTGTACACGTTCTTTGTTCAGTGGTCTCCTGATGTCTATGGGAAAGATGCCAAAGAGCAAGGCTTTGTGGTGGTGGAAAAAGAAGAACTGAATATGATTGACAACTTCTTCAGTGAGCCGACCACCAAGAGCTGGGAGGTGAGACTCAAGAGAAGGCTAGACTGTCCCTTAAAGTCCAGTCCACGGGGCTTCCCTGGTGGCGCAGTGGTTGAGAGTCCGCCTGCCGATGCAGGGGACGCGGTTTTGTGCCCCGGTCCAGAAAGATCCCACGTGCCGCGGAGCGGCTGAGCCCGTGAGCCAAGGCCGCTGAGCCTGCGCGTCCGGAGCCTGTGCTCCGCAACGGGAGAGGCCACAACAGTGAGAGGCCCGCGTACCACAAAAAAAAAAAAAAAAAAAGTCCAGTCTACAAACAGAATGTTCTTGTGTCAAAATTCCAGTAACCTCCTGGCTGACAAGAAGTCAGATTTCCTGTGCCTCTGAAATCACATGGGGAAAAAACCTTATTCCTCTGTTTTGAAGCTAGTTATGTGTGTCAGAAAGACCTCAACTCCACCCCTACAACCCAGTAATTTCACTTCTCTTTTTTGAAACTGCTGCAGGGTCCCCATTACATACAGGATGAAAATCAAGCTTCTTAATTTGGCCTAAAACACTGTTCGTAATTTTTCTGAGCACTTACCACTCCCTTCTCATGTTCGGGGCATGGTGGATGAGATAAGTAGAATTTAGCATCAAGGAGTATAGATAAATCATTACAATATAGTGAGATATTTACCATTGTAGGTGAAGTGCCACGTGCTATGGGAGCACGTACCCAGGCACCTGAATGGAGCTAGGGAATCAGGGAATGCGACCCAGAAGGAGTAATCTGAGCTGAGATCAGAAGTGGGAGGACAGGCAGTTGGGGTGAAAGTGGGACATGGAGCACGGAACATGTTCTGGCCAGAGAGAAAAGTCTATGTAGAGGAATGACCCAGGGGAGAAACAGAGAGTGTGGGGCATTTGATGAACTAATAAGAGTTCAGTGTAGCTGGATCATAAGAGTGCAAAGCTGAGGGAGTGGCAAGAAACGAAGCTGGAGATAATGAAATGGCAGATCACGAAGGACCTATGAAGTGTTTGTCATAGGTTTGGTTTGGCTATTTTCCTAAGGGCAGTAGGAAGGCAGCAGTTTGAGCTGTCTTCAGCCAGCTTCAGCCAGTTGGAGCTGTTTGGAGCCTGGAGAAATAAATACAGATACGCATTTTGGAGAGCTTGCTCTTGCTGGCAGATGTTCATGGAGTTGGACAACACTTGAGGCTTGAAGACCCATTAGGAGTCTCTTGCAGTAATCAATGTTGAGAGAGAACAGTTGCTGAAAGAGTGGCAGTGCAGATAGAGGGAATTGAGTGCTTTTGAAAGATAGTTAGAAGGAGGAAAACAGGGTTTTGTGAGTAATTAATTACATGTGGAAAGTAAGGAAGATGTCAAGATTGATCTCTTGGTTTTTAGAATGGGAACTGGAGGGATTGAGGTACCTGCCCTTCACCGTGATAAGGAGCATAGCAAGAGGATTAGATTTAGCAGAAAATGCTCTGTGTTCTGGTTTTAATCTAAATTTGAGGTGTCTGTGGAATGTCCAAGAGACAACTGAGAATAAAACTTAGGAAAAAGATCTGAAGATATACTTTCGGAAGTGATTAGCAAAGTTGAAGTTGTGATTGTAGGTGAGGTCAGCCTAGGAGAGTGTGTCCATTGGCAAGGGAGCGGGGCTCAGAACAGAACCCTTCAGGATGCCAGCACTAAGGGGCCAAAGATAGTCGAGCCCACAAAGGTGACTGAGAAGGAACAGCCAGGGGAGGGCATGGAAAACAAGAAAAGTCATGTCTTAGAAGCCAAGGGAAGAGAATGTTTCAAGAGGGGAGTAGTGGTCAAAAATGCCTAATGCTGCGGAGGAGTCAAAAGGTAAGAACTAAGCTATGTCTTTTGGATTTAAAACCAAGGAGGTAATAGTTGGTGACTTTGACAAAAAGCAGTTTCATTAAAGTGGTAGCTTCAAAATGTAACTACCAGTGTTCAATGAATGAATTGGGGGTGAGTAAGTGGAGCTAGTAACGGTGGGCAAACAACTTGAATTCGGTTTTGGAGAATAAAAATGAGATGGAAGGCTGGAAGAAGCGGTGAGGGTGGGGAGGTTTTCCCTCTCATGAGAGAGACTGTAACGTTTTGGATGAGGTCAGCGGGAACGGTGGAACAGAAGGTACAGAAGATAAGGGAATAGGAGAGGGAATAAGCGGGAGACTGGATCCCTGAGAATTGTCCGGGAATGTGGGGGTAGGGATAGAATCGGTCTTAGGTGGTCGGGCAGCAGAAAAGAATAGGATGTGTGCATATAGAATGTAGACTCACTGGCGGTAAATTGTGGCATTGCTCATTTGATTATTTCTCTGCAGCAGGAGGGAGCACCCCCTAGAAGTGAAGGAGGGAAGACTTAGAGGAATACGGAGAAGGTCTGAAGTAGCAGCTATAGAGACTAGGAAAAAAGCCAACTGAAGAACTGCAGTAGGATGGCTGTCTGGTATTGAAAGCCCTGGTGGGGTCTGGCACCAGGCTGCAGTGAGGGCGGGTTTTCTCCAGCAATACTCCCAGTCTGGGTTTAGATTCATCAAGTGGGCAGTCAGATCTTCCAAGGCTGAAACTCTGTCAGACTGGGATGATTAAGGGTGATGAGGCCTTGGGTCTAACTCCTTCTGGAATGCCAGGTCCCTTCATATGTGTGTTTGCCCTCACTCGTCCCTTTCTCATTCACTCCCTCCCAGCCCGAATGTGTACATGCACACACACAGCTTTCCATGTCAGACTCCTGTCATCCTTCAAGGTCCAGCTCATTTGTCACTTCTGTGATGCTTTCAGCCAGAGTTACTCCTCCTGTCCTTCCACAGCGCATTGCTCATAGCTCTCTAGTGTATCGCTCAGCACTTTGTTTGCGTGTTTGTCTTCCCACAGTTCATAAGCTTCTTGTTTGAAACCATTGATTAAAAATATTCAAGCCTATTAGGCTCTCCCTCCCTTGGCTCTTCATATCAACTCTGTGTTTTTCTGTCTCTGTCTTTCTGAGTATACTTGTCCCTTTTCTCATGGTGTTCCCTAGTTTATCCCTGGCTCTCTTTTCTTCTCGTCTATTACATCTTCCTTGGACGAGCTCATCGGCTTTCGAGGTTTCTGCTGCTGACTCCCACCTCTGTCTCCTCCACACACCTTTCTTCCAGGCTGCTGTTCTAGAGCACATAGATGCCCCACAGGCATGACTGGGTCTCCACGAGGCAGAGATGGTGTGACACTGGCATTCTGGCCAAGGCGTCAAAGAATATCAATTCCTGCCCTCCTCACCTAACCATGTGCCCAAGAGGCCCCCACCCCCATGAGATATGCACACAGAGGCAGCATAGCTAGGAAATGTGTATTTTCTTAGTGAGGCTATGGTCTCTTGCCCAATATGGAGGGCCAGAGAGAAGGTTTAAATTTCACTGGGGATTTAATCCTTTCCTGACTAAGCCTGAATATCTTGAACTGAAGCAGCCCTCTTTTAGGCCTATTCTGCATCTTTCCACTAATCCCAACCTTGAATCTCAGCTCTTGACAACTCCTGTGGGAGAAGGGGCCACACCTACCAGCACCAGAGGAAAAGGAGCTAAAGGGGCATGCAGAGAGAGAAAGGGCCGCTTCCAGATCTAGAGTAGAGTGGGCTTGAGTGAGCCACTCAGACTGAGCCACTGAGGAGAATGAGAGGGCAAATCCCTTTAGAAGGTGTCTCTAGACCTGTAGTGGAAGAGGAAGAAAAGAAGAAGGGATGGAGAAGGAGGAAGAAATGGGTTGGCTTGTTGCAAGCTCCTAGTGTACTTGGGACATGGAAAGAAAAGATAACTGGAGAGAGAGGTGACTGGACTGTTATCCCTATTTCTTTTTTTTTTTTTTTTTAGAAGATGTTGGGGGTAGGAGTTTATTAATTAATTAATTAATTAATTTTTGCTGTGTTGGGTCTTCGTTCCTGTGCGAGGGCTTTCTCTAGTTGTGGCAAGCGGGGGCCACTCTTCATCGCGGTGTGCGGGCCTCTCACTATCGCGGCCTCTCTTGTTGTGGAGCACAGGCTCCAGATGCGCAGGCTCAGTAGTTGTGGCTCACGGGCCTAGTTGCTCCGCGGCACGTGGGATCCTCCCAGACCAGGGCTTGAGCCCGTGTCCCCTGCATTAGCAGGCAGATTCTCAACCACTGCGCCACCGGGGAAGCCCCTATCCCTATTTCTTGCCACACGGAAGAGAAAGTCCAAAAGTACAATGAGGAGAAGAATGCTGTCCAAGCTCCCTCCCATGCAGGAGCAAATTCTGCTTACTAGCATTACCTTAAGGCCAGGCCACTGTGATAGCATTGCTTCATGGCGGCATTGCTTCTCCTCTGTGGGTGGGGAAGAGGAACCTTCACTCCCCTGACAGGTGTCTGATCCTCAGCATGTCCAAAACGTCTCTTCATCTTTCCCCAAAACTTGCTTCTTCTCATGTATTCCCATCTTAATTAGTGGTGCCCCAAGCTAGAAGCCTAGATATCAACCCAGATTCTTCTCTTTCATCACATGTAGTCAGTCATCTCTAGTTAGAATTTGTTGATTCTGATCTTACGTAGGGTGGGGACCACCGCCCTAGTCAGCTGTCTGCACCCTTCACTTAAACTCTAGGGCAACTCCAGTCAACCCAACCACTAGTCCACCCTCCATACCCAAGCTCTTTAAATAAGCTTTACTTCCTAATTTTATAAAAGTAACACCTGCTTTTATTATAGGAAATTTGGAAACTACAGAAAAGCACAATGCAGAACATTTAGAAAATAATATCTAACCACACATTACTTTTGTACATTTTTTTGACTCATTTTTTTCTATTTTAGCGTGTTTTCTAGGCCGTAAGGATGAGAGAGTATTTTTGCAAAATGGGATAATGTTCTATGTATAGTTTGGTATCTGGCTTTTCTCACCTGACATCTTGTGGGAACTGTATCATATTAAAGATTTTGAAGCCTCATTTTAATGGTTACATAATATTTTAAACCTCAATCAGAATTTATTTAACAATTCCCCACTTTTAGGAATCGTGTTGGTTCAAGGTTTTCACAAGGATGAGATGATCTGTAACTGTGACTATTCCCCTAATTTCCTGAAAGTGATATTACTTAGTATAAGGGTATTGATTTTTTTTAAGGCTCCTAATCTTTTATATAACGACAATTTTCCAGAAATGTGAGGAATACCCTTCTTCTCATTGTGCTTCTGGCAACAGAAAGTACTATTTCTATTATCGCTTTCTTAAAACTTTTGCTAATTTGAAAAACTGATAAATGATATATTGGAATTGTTTGTGCCACCTGCCTGGCAAAGCACCTGGCACTTGCCATCATATAGAAAAAGCACTCAGTAAATGTTAGCTGTCATGAAGTGTCAGGCACTGAAAAGAATGCTGTCTCACTGGCACAAAATCCAAGTGATTCTGCCCTAGATTGTGTCCAGGCTCTTGCAGTGAGAATAAGTTCCGGCCGACCTGAGACTGGTCACCAGTTATCTCCCAGAGCCTCATTAGAACTGACCCCCAGGATGAACTGTGTAGTGGCGCGCCCGATCTCCCAGGGGTACCGGAGACCAAGAGGCCATTTTCGATCTGGAAAACTCACAGAGATCCCTGAAAATTGATCCAATGGTAATCCACATTTCTTTCCAACCCGCTGATATCTGGTCTGGGCAGTAGAGGAGGACTCATCATGCTTATTAGTCATTAAGATTAATATTTTGAAAGGTTAAAAGGTAAATATTACTTTGCTAGCTCTTTAGAAAAACTGAATCTAAACTAACATTTTTCTCAGCCTCATATAAACCGGATGTTCTTTCAGTTCTTTGAAGTTTCTCATACCTAACAAACATGATGGTATTGAAGTGAAACGCCATTGTTCTAAGCATAATGAACCTACCTCTGGTAAAGGCTCCTTTTCATCTTTCCTTTGAGATTCAAGCTGATATCAGGGAACACACATAAACTCTTAAAATGAAGGTTTCGCTTTAGGATGCAGAAAAAAAAAATCTGAAAAGGCAAGGCTAGAAAAGCTAGCTCAGCCAGCTGGAGGACAATTGGGAAGAAAAGTACAAGACGGTGAAGAAGAAAAAAAAAAAGTGAGGTTTTGTTGTGCTGTTAGGAAACCACCGTTTCAAAGGTGAAAGCGTCTTTTTACAGCCTCACAGCTATGCCTAACAGGAAGTGTGTGTTTGCTCTAAATCCTAATTTGGGTGTGTTCCTGTAGAAATATTGAACTCTCTCCTAAGGGAAACAGAAACTCAATCATGCAGGAAACTAGATACTGCATAAACAGTTGTAGCTCAGTGTGGCTGTAAGTAACAGTGGTGTGGAGGCAGATAAGAGAAAAAACCTGCACCTCTTTAGAGAGCAAGCAGGCAGTTCCCACTACTTCAGGATGAGAAGATTGCCCCTGGACATTCAGATTTTCTATTGTGCCAGACCGGACCAAGAGCCTTTTGTGAAGGTATGTTGGAGTCCTGAGGGCTAATCATGTGCCCGTGAATCCTCCAAGCTCTGCCGTTAAGGTGCTTTGAAATGCTTTCTAATTAGAAGGGATCGGGCTGATATTTCAGCCGGAGCAGGTATTTTATTCACTTTGGAGAGAGAGATGGTGTGGTTTGCCCTTTCCCTTTGGAGTCAAAACTCCATACTGATTTTTTCATTCCACAGCCCCACTTTGTACCTGTGTTAAGTGTAGAGTTCCCCAAAAGTATGTGCTTTATTTAATACATTTAAAATGCTGGATTTGTGATTCTTCAACAGTGTTTTCTTTAAGTAAATGCCCCTTGAGAAGACGGTAAAATTTAAGGGCTAATTTCCTTACCTGTAAATCTGGCTCAGATGACAGCATTTTGGAAACTAAGTAGTCATTGTCTGACAACCTTCACTAAATGTAATGTCAATGTTTTTTCTGTATGATGCAAAAGTCATTAATATTTGTACTCAGGAATTTTGGTCAATTAGTTACCTTCTGTCTGTATCTTTCAATTTCAAAATAATTTAGTGATTTATCCAGACTTTCAGAGAGGCAAAAGAAAAAAGATTTTTAACCTGGTAGTTTATACGTGTATTTATGATGAAATAATAAATGTTGTGTACGACATCATGTTTCTGTTCTCAGCTTTGAAGGAAAGATTATTCTGATGGTTTCTCAACTCTCCATAAAGAATCATACCTAATTGTAATTTAGACTAAAGCTTCGTGTCTCTTTGTATTGTTGCCTTCCGTAGATGTTATCATTTGCTATTTCTGTCAGGGTTGGTTGCTATGAACAGCCTTGAGAGAAAACATTAGGATTCTTGATTAAAGGGCTATCCTTATCTTCCCCATTTCCCTATTTATAGAAGACTTGCTCATAGTATGATATCTGTTAGTCCCTTAACAATTCAAATTTAGATGCAGGCTAATGGAGAATAATTTAGGGCATTTCAAGGGTATAAGTCGCTTGTGGAGTTATACATAGTTCTTACTTGATGACTGAGCAATAGTAAAACTGGAAAGCTTGTGACTTTAATTTGTACATATTAAGTGCTATAGCTGTACTGTGTCAAATTCTCCATTTGCTCTGAAATTGACATTGTGATTAGCCATTTCCCCCAAAGTGCTGGCTCAACTTATGTCCTGCTGCTAAAACCCTACCTGTTACAGGCAATTGTGTACCTGAGGTCCTTTAATAGCAGGTGAAGGAAAAGCAAAAATATCGTTTTTCTTGGTTTATTTGTCTTCTCCATTTCAGATCATCACCGTTGAGGAGGCAAAACGCAGGAAGAGCACATGTAGCTACTATGAAGATGAGGATGAGGCCGCCCTGCCGATCCTGCAGCCCCGCAGTGCGCTTCTGGAGAACATGCACATCGAGCAGGTGGGTTCTTCCTGGGGACGTAGGATGGGTGTCTTCCAAACCTTAGAACACATTTCCCACCCCTGACATTTGCTCTTCTCACTTGGGGTGAAGCATGAGCCAAGCTTTAAAGGAAGACACACCAGCAGCCTAACCAGGGCCCTTCTCTGCTTCTGAAAGGCAGCATCCCTGCCACCTTCTTGGGAGTGCAAGGACTTGGCCAGACACCTACGTCCATTCCCCAAACCTGAACAAAAAGACATTTCTTGTCTTCAAAACAATTTGTAAAGTGTCCTACTATAGTCCTAATGTATTTTAAAAGGATACAAATTTATCCTAATGATTATCGCAGAGTTCCGATGGTTTCAATTTTTTGAGCTCAGTAAAAGTCATATAGCAAGTACACTTTACTTGCTTTATGAAAACCACCTACCACTAGGAGTAATTTTCCTTTTTCTGTACTTTTTTTGTTGTTTACTTTCTATTTTCTGAACATCTCTTACGTGAGTTTTTATGAAATACTACGTGCTTGTATTTGAACTTTAGTAAGGGACCTCTTGTGCTTCCCCCATCAGTCAGCTTAGAAACCTGAATTTCAGAGACCTTAAAGAATCATCAGGTTCAAGTCCCTCAATTTACAAATGCCATGTGTGAAGGCCCAGGAAAGCTAGGCGACTTGACCAGGCAGTTACAGGGATGGAGTTCATGCTGATTCTAGAACTATGTCAAGCATTCTTGAGGACTTCAACATTTTATATAGCCTCCTTTGTGTGTATTCTTGAAGACATATGCATTATTGATATTTATGGCAGCCAAGTTTAAGTTAAATATTAATGTAAGTGAAAGATACAAGTGTAATGAGGACAGACTACATCTGACTACTAGCATAAAACACCCGTGTCTTCTTGTTCTCACTTTGGTGGGAATTTACAGCTGTCAGTAGCAGCTCTGAGCCTTTGAAGGTTTAGAAAGAACAATTCGAGAAACATGAACTGCTTGGTGAAAGTCAGGTTGAAGTGTAAACAAGAGAGCATGTGTCTAATTCATACCTCTTTATCAAGCTAGGTGCTATATCTTCAAATATATAGTGGCATAGTGACCCTTCAGGATCATCCCTGAGGGGGAATGCATGCTCTGGGGAGCATCCCTGCCAAGGGATGGTTTTCCCTTCTTGGTTTATAGTGGAAGTGTTTGCTAGAGTACAGGGGAGCAATATGGAAGTAGTGTAATTATCGAGTTTGAGCCACAGGCATCGGTTTTGTGCTACAAGTTCATGAGTGATTTGTATGCAAACTGTGTATTTACATCTTCATCTTTGGATTCACAGCTGGCCCGACACCTTCCAGCAAGGGTACAGGGGTATCCATGGAGTCTCGTATACAGCACATTAGAGCATGGCACCAGCTTGAAAACCCTCTACCGGAAGTCAGCATCACTAGACAGTCCTGTCCTATTGGTCATCAAAGATATGGATAATCAGGTGAGGCTTGTTCCTCTTATAGAGGAACATTTGTTTTTTTTTTGGCGGTACGCAGGCTCTCACTGTTGTGGCCTCTCCCGTTGCGGAGCACAGGCTCCGGACGCGCAGGCTCAGCGGCCCTGGCTCACGGGCCCAGCCCTTAGTATAAGGGTATTGATTTTTTTTAAGGCTCCTAATCTTTTATATAACGACAATTTTCCAGAAATGTGAGGAATACCCTTCTTCTCATTGTGCTTCTGGCAACAGAAAGTACTATTTCTATTATCGCTTTCTTAAAACTTTTGCTAATTTGAAAAACTGATAAATGATATATTGGAATTGTTTGTGCCACCTGCCTGGCAAAGCACCTGGCACTTGCCATCATATAGAAAAAGCACTCAGTAAATGTTAGCTGTCATGAAGTGTCAGGCACTGAAAAGAATGCTGTCTCACTGGCACAAAATCCAAGTGATTCTGCCCTAGATTGTGTCCAGGCTCTTGCAGTGAGAATAAGTTCCGGCCGACCTGAGACTGGTCACCAGTTATCTCCCAGAGCCTCATTAGAACTGACCCCCAGGATGAACTGTGTAGTGGCGCGCCCGATCTCCCAGGGGTACCGGAGACCAAGAGGCCATTTTCGATCTGGAAAACTCACAGAGATCCCTGAAAATTGATCCAATGGTAATCCACATTTCTTTCCAACCCGCTGATATCTGGTCTGGGCAGTAGAGGAGGACTCATCATGCTTATTAGTCATTAAGATTAATATTTTGAAAGGTTAAAAGGTAAATATTACTTTGCTAGCTCTTTAGAAAAACTGAATCTAAACTAACATTTTTCTCAGCCTCATATAAACCGGATGTTCTTTCAGTTCTTTGAAGTTTCTCATACCTAACAAACATGATGGTATTGAAGTGAAACGCCATTGTTCTAAGCATAATGAACCTACCTCTGGTAAAGGCTCCTTTTCATCTTTCCTTTGAGATTCAAGCTGATATCAGGGAACACACATAAACTCTTAAAATGAAGGTTTCGCTTTAGGATGCAGAAAAAAAAAATCTGAAAAGGCAAGGCTAGAAAAGCTAGCTCAGCCAGCTGGAGGACAATTGGGAAGAAAAGTACAAGACGGTGAAGAAGAAAAACACAAAGGGAGGATTTGTTGTGCTGTTAGGAAACCACCGTTTCAAAGGTGAAAGCGTCTTTTTACAGCCTCACAGCTATGCCTAACAGGAAGTGTGTGTTTGCTCTAAATCCTAATTTGGGTGTGTTCCTGTAGAAATATTGAACTCTCTCCTAAGGGAAACAGAAACTCAATCATGCAGGAAACTAGATACTGCATAAACAGTTGTAGCTCAGTGTGGCTGTAAGTAACAGTGGTGTGGAGGCAGATAAGAGAAAAAACCTGCACCTCTTTAGAGAGCAAGCAGGCAGTTCCCACTACTTCAGGATGAGAAGATTGCCCCTGGACATTCAGATTTTCTATTGTGCCAGACCGGACCAAGAGCCTTTTGTGAAGGTATGTTGGAGTCCTGAGGGCTAATCATGTGCCCGTGAATCCTCCAAGCTCTGCCGTTAAGGTGCTTTGAAATGCTTTCTAATTAGAAGGGATCGGGCTGATATTTCAGCCGGAGCAGGTATTTTATTCACTTTGGAGAGAGAGATGGTGTGGTTTGCCCTTTCCCTTTGGAGTCAAAACTCCATACTGATTTTTTCATTCCACAGCCCCACTTTGTACCTGTGTTAAGTGTAGAGTTCCCCAAAAGTATGTGCTTTATTTAATACATTTAAAATGCTGGATTTGTGATTCTTCAACAGTGTTTTCTTTAAGTAAATGCCCCTTGAGAAGACGGTAAAATTTAAGGGCTAATTTCCTTACCTGTAAATCTGGCTCAGATGACAGCATTTTGGAAACTAAGTAGTCATTGTCTGACAACCTTCACTAAATGTAATGTCAATGTTTTTTCTGTATGATGCAAAAGTCATTAATATTTGTACTCAGGAATTTTGGTCAATTAGTTACCTTCTGTCTGTATCTTTCAATTTCAAAATAATTTAGTGATTTATCCAGACTTTCAGAGAGGCAAAAGAAAAAAGATTTTTAACCTGGTAGTTTATACGTGTATTTATGATGAAATAATAAATGTTGTGTACGACATCATGTTTCTGTTCTCAGCTTTGAAGGAAAGATTATTCTGATGGTTTCTCAACTCTCCATAAAGAATCATACCTAATTGTAATTTAGACTAAAGCTTCGTGTCTCTTTGTATTGTTGCCTTCCGTAGATGTTATCATTTGCTATTTCTGTCAGGGTTGGTTGCTATGAACAGCCTTGAGAGAAAACATTAGGATTCTTGATTAAAGGGCTATCCTTATCTTCCCCATTTCCCTATTTATAGAAGACTTGCTCATAGTATGATATCTGTTAGTCCCTTAACAATTCAAATTTAGATGCAGGCTAATGGAGAATAATTTAGGGCATTTCAAGGGTATAAGTCGCTTGTGGAGTTATACATAGTTCTTACTTGATGACTGAGCAATAGTAAAACTGGAAAGCTTGTGACTTTAATTTGTACATATTAAGTGCTATAGCTGTACTGTGTCAAATTCTCCATTTGCTCTGAAATTGACATTGTGATTAGCCATTTCCCCCAAAGTGCTGGCTCAACTTATGTCCTGCTGCTAAAACCCTACCTGTTACAGGCAATTGTGTACCTGAGGTCCTTTAATAGCAGGTGAAGGAAAAGCAAAAATATCGTTTTTCTTGGTTTATTTGTCTTCTCCATTTCAGATCATCACCGTTGAGGAGGCAAAACGCAGGAAGAGCACATGTAGCTACTATGAAGATGAGGATGAGGCCGCCCTGCCGATCCTGCAGCCCCGCAGTGCGCTTCTGGAGAACATGCACATCGAGCAGGTGGGTTCTTCCTGGGGACGTAGGATGGGTGTCTTCCAAACCTTAGAACACATTTCCCACCCCTGACATTTGCTCTTCTCACTTGGGGTGAAGCATGAGCCAAGCTTTAAAGGAAGACACACCAGCAGCCTAACCAGGGCCCTTCTCTGCTTCTGAAAGGCAGCATCCCTGCCACCTTCTTGGGAGTGCAAGGACTTGGCCAGACACCTACGTCCATTCCCCAAACCTGAACAAAAAGACATTTCTTGTCTTCAAAACAATTTGTAAAGTGTCCTACTATAGTCCTAATGTATTTTAAAAGGATACAAATTTATCCTAATGATTATCGCAGAGTTCCGATGGTTTCAATTTTTTGAGCTCAGTAAAAGTCATATAGCAAGTACACTTTACTTGCTTTATGAAAACCACCTACCACTAGGAGTAATTTTCCTTTTTCTGTACTTTTTTTGTTGTTTACTTTCTATTTTCTGAACATCTCTTACGTGAGTTTTTATGAAATACTACGTGCTTGTATTTGAACTTTAGTAAGGGACCTCTTGTGCTTCCCCCATCAGTCAGCTTAGAAACCTGAATTTCAGAGACCTTAAAGAATCATCAGGTTCAAGTCCCTCAATTTACAAATGCCATGTGTGAAGGCCCAGGAAAGCTAGGCGACTTGACCAGGCAGTTACAGGGATGGAGTTCATGCTGATTCTAGAACTATGTCAAGCATTCTTGAGGACTTCAACATTTTATATAGCCTCCTTTGTGTGTATTCTTGAAGACATATGCATTATTGATATTTATGGCAGCCAAGTTTAAGTTAAATATTAATGTAAGTGAAAGATACAAGTGTAATGAGGACAGACTACATCTGACTACTAGCATAAAACACCCGTGTCTTCTTGTTCTCACTTTGGTGGGAATTTACAGCTGTCAGTAGCAGCTCTGAGCCTTTGAAGGTTTAGAAAGAACAATTCGAGAAACATGAACTGCTTGGTGAAAGTCAGGTTGAAGTGTAAACAAGAGAGCATGTGTCTAATTCATACCTCTTTATCAAGCTAGGTGCTATATCTTCAAATATATAGTGGCATAGTGACCCTTCAGGATCATCCCTGAGGGGGAATGCATGCTCTGGGGAGCATCCCTGCCAAGGGATGGTTTTCCCTTCTTGGTTTATAGTGGAAGTGTTTGCTAGAGTACAGGGGAGCAATATGGAAGTAGTGTAATTATCGAGTTTGAGCCACAGGCATCGGTTTTGTGCTACAAGTTCATGAGTGATTTGTATGCAAACTGTGTATTTACATCTTCATCTTTGGATTCACAGCTGGCCCGACACCTTCCAGCAAGGGTACAGGGGTATCCATGGAGTCTCGTATACAGCACATTAGAGCATGGCACCAGCTTGAAAACCCTCTACCGGAAGTCAGCATCACTAGACAGTCCTGTCCTATTGGTCATCAAAGATATGGATAATCAGGTGAGGCTTGTTCCTCTTATAGAGGAACATTTGTTTTTTTTTTGGCGGTACGCAGGCTCTCACTGTTGTGGCCTCTCCCGTTGCGGAGCACAGGCTCCGGACGCGCAGGCTCAGCGGCCCTGGCTCACGGGCCCAGCCGCTCTGCGGCACGTGGGATCTTCCCAGACCGCGGCACAAACCCGCGTCCCCTGCATCGGCAGGCGGACTCTCAACCACTGCGCCACCAGGGAAGCCCGAGGAACATTTTTTTTAATGAAGCTTTTCAAACCTGCACAACAGTAGAGAGACTAATACAATGACCTCTCATCACTCAGATTCTACAGTTAGCAGGACTTTGCCACATACACTTCATTCTTTCCTTTGTTGGCTTTTTTTCCCTGAAGTATTTTGAAGTAAATCCCAATTATTATGTCATTTCACCTCTACATACTTCAGAATGCATCTCTAAAAAAGAAAATGGAGCGTATCTCCAAATACAGTCACATTCTAAGGAATTTTTTTTCCTGTACTCATCATGGAGTAGGAAGCTATAATGATATTCTGTAACCTAAAACTGGAGAAGCTGGAAGAAAAGTCAAGTCTAGATGTGGAGACAGTTGCAGAAAGAGGTTCCAGTGCCATATACCAGAACTTCTTCCAGGTAGCTGGAGTAGTGCCCACCAACCTTGCCTGCATAGTTGCTGAGATGGAGAGCCAGTTAAGGCCGTGGTGTGTTGTACCTGAAGGGCCCAGTTGTTACGAAACAGGAGAAAATGCTCTGGACCATTGCTTAGTGCACTTTCACCCACGTTGCTGTCGGTCTTGGAGGCACTGGTGAAATCTAGATATTACCCCCATCTCCCCTAAGCTAATAATTCTTCCCTCGGTCAGCCTGGAGTATGAGTGGAATCTGTCCAGGTTTCTTTCATGTACCATGCAGGCAGACTTCTGCTTCACAAAAGGAAAGCATCTTTCAAGTCTGCTCTTTATTCATTTCAACTTGGTCTATATTATAGCAAGAAGAAATTTCTTTACACTTTTTGTAGGTGTCATTATTTTCTCTTCCTGGCATTTGGAAGCAGGGTTTACTTGACAACCATCTATTTATTCATCCATTCAGAAAATGTATAATGACTGTCTGTTAGATGTGGGGCACTATTAAGCATTGGGGAGCTTACTGAGAAGCCATATAATTGGGATCATTTTAGGGGAAATAGATTTTTGCTGTCATAATTTGTCTTGGGAAAAATTAGCAGGGAGAAGGGCACTGTCTTTCTCAACGGTGATCATTCCTGTAAGTAGATTAAGTGTTGTGAGGAACAGTTTAGTTATTAGCATTGTTCCTACAGTTATTTACTGATTGAGAACACTTTATTTAATCATAGTCCAAGCTGAACAGTAGGGAGAGTCAAGTTAAAAATGTAAATAATAATAACAAAGGTTTAAAATGGAATTACTTAGGGATTTAGTGAAATGTTTGCAAAGTTAGGTGCTACTTTTTAGATGAGATAGGGCTAGATGGTTTTAGACCACACACACACACACACACACACACACACACACACACACGTACCTGCACCATAAGTATAGATTAGTTCTATTAATTTACCAAAAGATAACTTGTTGGGGAATGTGTTGGCTCACAGAGCAGGTTTTGATGATGCACAGTATTACTCAGCCGTATCAGCAGATATGTAAAGGAGGCCTGCCTATACCTGAAGATTACACTGTTTGTCTAGAGGTATAATCTTACTGGATCTGGTGCCCTGGAGGCATTTGTGTTATTTGAAGGCATAACTCTGCTTTCCCCACCCCATCTACCCCCAAGGCAAGGATGCGTCTTGCTGTGTTTGGGAACATGATAGAACAACACCTGTAAATTTATCTGGAAATGAATTATATAAAATTCTAAGATAAAAGCATTACGCATGCAGAATGGCAGGCATGAGGAGTTCTACAGAATCAATCCCCAGTGAAACAATCATTACTGGTGGGAATTATAAAAACAACAATCACCTAAAGTCTCTGGAAATTGCCCTAAGGGCATACAGCAAGTGAAGAACCATTTATTTAAGAAAATCTAATGAAGCCCAGTAATAATAGTGAGATTCTGTGGCATTTGAAGGCACAGCCTGCTCCCTCCCCCAACCCCTGTTCAGACAGAAGCTTTCTTCTGGGCACGTGTGGACAAGATGAGGATCCCTCAGCTGCCAGCTCCCAGGCAAAGACTATGATATGCCTCCTCTAGGGGCAGGTCCCCAGCATGTCTTATCCCCTACCCAAGATCTCTGTTTCAGAGGCTAAATTTCAGGGCTCTCTTCCTCTGACCAGCCCCTTCTCAGAGGACAGTTGCTCTACCTTCTGCATGGCAGGCCGAGAATACAGGGGTCTCTACTGCCCTTGCTCCAGCACATAGGGCAGAAGTTCCATGTCAGGTGAGTGGAGCCAAGACCAGTGGCTACGGCCCCTGCCCAGCACCCTGCTCATAAAACAGGACTGTACCTTTGAGAAAAGCAGGCCACTGTCCAGCCCCCAGCTCCAGGGGAAGAGGCAGACCATAAAACATATAGCTCAGAAGCTCTCTCCAAAGGAACTGACGTTATTTAGAAGAACATGGGGAAGGTCAAGCCAAGGGACACTCTAGGGAACAATGAAAATTTTGGTGGTAAACAACTAAGAGGAGGCTGGTAGTTCCATGAAGGCAGCAAACTAAGCTGTAGACCATCTAGTTTACCAGAGAGAACTGGGGAAAGAAACAGCTAAGGAGAGCCTTCCTGGAGTCAGGATAAACTTCATAGACTGGCCACAGAAACTACCCCTTCATAGACTGGCCCAAATTTAATTGAATGAGACCATGGAGTAATTTATACCACAAAGCATTGTGGAAAATAATAGAACAATCATCAGGTGGTAGAGTCCGATCTATATTAACTTAATTCCAGTGAGATATAGAAAGGTTACTCCTACATTGCTCTATGACATCTTTCCACTTTTTGTGGTAATTTTGTTATATTACGTTGATATATATTACAAACTCAACAATAAATTGTTACATAGCTGTTTGTATAATTTTTATCTACTAAGAAAGCTGAGAGAAGAAAGGAGAGCAATTATACATTTATAGGTTTTGTCATATTAACCTTCCTTTTACCACTTTGGGCTTTCTTCATTCATTCCCCTGGATTCCTTTGTTCTATTACTGTCAAACATGTTAAAATTTTCGATAGTATAGACCCAACAATACCATTATTCTACAGTTTCTTCTTAAGTTAATTAATAGAAAAAAAATAAAATGGACATTTTCTTACATAACCATAATGCTATATACCTTAAAAATTAACAGTAATTTCTTAGTATCATCATATCTCCAGTGCTTAAACAGATTTCCATGATTGCTAAGAAAATTTGTTACTGTTTTTTCCTTGTTCTTAACAGCTCTAGAGACAGGTTTTGGTATGAAGAACATGGGTTAGAAAGAGTTTCTAGACTTCTGCTCTACCTAATTTTTAGTATTTCAAGGAGCTAGGAACTGAGTGTACTTGGTAAAGAAGAGATTCCATGATGATGATAATCCAATTTAAATTAGTTTGAAAACTTATAAGACATTTTTCAGGTAGACTCCATTTAAAGCATTGTTTCTTGGGACTTCCTTGGTGGTGCAGTGGTTAAGACTCCACGCTCCCAATGCCAGGGGCCTGGGTTCGATCCCTGGCCAGGGAACTAAATCCCACATGCATGCTGCAACTAAGAGTTCGCATGCCAAAACTAAGGAGCCAGCGACCTGCAACTAAGGAGCCCGCGTGCCACAACTAAGACCCAGCACAACCAAATAAATAAATATTTACAAAAAAAAAAAGCATTGTTTCTCAAGTGGGATTTGGAGAAGATATATCAGAATCACCTAGGGACATTTCCAGAATATATATCCTTGCCAGTCCTCACTCCTGCACGCACTGGTCAGGATCTGAGCAGAGGATAGGAAGCTGAAGCAGTGGACACGCGTGTTCTGAAAAGACTACTCTTTCCAACCCCGATAAGAAATAATAGAAAAATCATTGATTCAGATACATCTAAACCACCTTTAAAGCCCACAGTATTATGGAATTGTTACTTTTTTCTTAAAAGCCATTTTGAACTAAAATATATTGGATCAGTCACGTTAAGGATGCAGTTTTAATAAGTATGTTGGAAACTCATTTTTACGAATCAAAGGAGAGAAAAATTAATTTTCTCCAGGGAAACCTCTGGCCACAATTTTACTTAGAAAACACATCAGAGATATGCCTTCATTCTCTCAACCACTCATTTCTGTGCACAAGATGCATCTTGTTATTTAATGTTTCCAGTATGTCCCCTGTATTCACTAAAAGAAATTTGTCTCTATAGTGGACTTTGGAAGTCTTTTAAAACTGGAGCAATTGTTGGCCTTTGACAGGTAAGTTCTCTAAGCCACTTGGGTTCTAATGAGAACTGGGGACATTTTATTTGTTTGATGGTGGTCTTTTTTATTTAGGAACTCTGATTTAGTAATGATCTTTGCTGAAAGAGATATAATGAGATCTCAGAATAGGATTGTGCTAAAATATTTCAGAAAGTCTGTTTTTGGGCAGGTTTATGGTTGAAAGTACATAAGGTTTCTGTTTTCTTTTGACAGATTTTTGGAGCATACGCAACTCATCCTTTCAAGTTCAGTGATCACTATTATGGCACAGGCGAAACTTTTCTCTACACGTTTAGCCCTAACTTCAAGGTACCTAGATGAAAGAAATACCCAACTTCCTGGTGTCACGGTGTCAGGAGGGTCGGTGGGGTTGGAGGTGGGGGGCTGTGGTTGGAGCAGCAGCTGTCCCATCCCGTTACTCGAGGTAACCTCATCTGGCCTCACTCTGGCCTGGCCAGCACTTCATGACTGCAGCACAGAAACTGCTTAGATTCCCTCCGCAGGCCTTGGGAAGTGCTCTTTTGCGTGGTCTAAGATTAGGGAGGGGTTGCAAGTCAGAGCCAACATGTGTCTGAGAGGTCTTTCCTACCTCATAACCCCTTTGGAGATCTCATCCTGGTGTGGTAGAGGTCTGGCCGTCAGGAGCTTCCTCAGCCAATGGGTAGTGCCCTTGCACACACACAGGTACCATGCTGTTACTCCCTCTTCGTGAATTCTCCAGATTGAAATGTCTGTTCTCGGTCTTGTGTTTCTGTCCTAAGGTCTTTAAGTGGAGTGGAGAAAACTCATACTTTATCAATGGAGACATAAGTTCTTTGGAACTTGGTGGTGGAGGGTAAGGTTTTTGTTGTTATTATTAGTTACCACCTGACCTGAGTGAGGCTGTTTTGACCCAGGTAACTGAAACTTTGGTGTCAGGTGATTTTAGCTAGTCCATGTGCTTCGATTATTTAGGACAGTGTGGTCTAACACATGACACTAAGAACTGAAGATAAAATGACTTATTTATGTGTCTAAATGAGGGACTACTGCCACCCGTCTTTTAGGAAAGATGGGTCATTTAAATGAAATAAAGGAAATGTACCTTTTATTTTACAAGCAGTTTAGGGTTTTGTCTGTCTACAGCATAAAAGAAAGAAGTTGGGGCAAGGGAGGACAGAAAGTGTGCACATAAAATTGAAATGTTTTCACCATTTTATTAACCTTTTCAGGGGACGATTTGGTTTATGGCTAGATGCTGATTTATACCATGGACGAAGCAACTCCTGCAGCACTTTTAATAATGATATTCTTTCCAAAAAGGAAGACTTCATAGTTCAGGATCTCGAGGTATGGACATTCGAGTGAAATTCAGACTGCCTTAAAATACGACATTAAAAAGACTGGGTTCAATCAGCCCTGCTAAAGCTGGCTGGAAGAGCGAGCCTCAGCCCAGACTGCCTCATCCCATCATAGTGCTTTCTTTCTGCCTTCATCTCAGCGTGTGATCACATTGCAGAGAGATTCTGAAAGGTACATGTGGAAGGCAGACGATGAAGAAAGAAATCTGAAGTCCAGATTGTTGAAAGACTTTATACTCTCACTTCCTTCAAATCCATACAGTGAGGAATCAGAATATTTATAGATGTGAGTTGAATGCAATTTTTATTTTTGTTAACTGTGAAAAAGAAAATACTGTGGAAATATATACATTCCTTGTATATTTATCAATATAATTTTCATTACCAAAATGTACAGCATACTGTTCTTTGCCATGGAAAAGTTTAGTCTCATTTAGAAAAATTCAAAGTGCACAGCACTTAAAGGGAATATATGATTTTTAAAAACGGTTTTATTTATTATTTCTAGTATATTGTCTGAAATGTGTTGGCAGTTTTTTCTTTTAATGTGTCAAATTTTGAAAGAAAGAAATGTATACATTTTGTGCTATGTTTTGGCAACAAACCCATTTGATTTATATAGTTTTATATTAAGTTTTTTTTGCCCTGATTGTTTAGGGTGATATGTATATGTATGTGCTGCTTAATGTCCAAATATATATATGTATACACACATATATATACACACATAATTGTGAATTTTTAAAAACTCAATACCAATGTTTATTGATTTGACTGTTGTAGGCCAGCTTTCCATTTAGTCGTTAAAAAGGTACATTTTTAGTTATTTACTCTGAACATAACTGTGTAAAAGAAAAATAAGCTATTTCTCTCAGTTATAAGTTGACATTTACAGAAATGTATACCTTTATGATCCCAGATTTAGAACAAACCCTGCCTTTGAAAAGAAAATGTTTTGCTTCTTATAAAATCACGTGTTAATAACATTGTATTTTTTATTGGATTTTTTTGCATAATTTTCCCCAAGTTTTTACATTAATGAACAGGCCTCTGTTTGAAATGAGACTGAGTGTTTTAATTTCTGTATATTTTATATCAAATGAAAAAAATGTCAAATTATCCCAATTGTCTTGATTTCTAGACTCTTTTATTTGAGAAAAATCAATGCAAAGAAATGCATTCATACCAAAATTGAAATAAAAAGTAAAAACTTGTTTTTTAATATCAACTCACTTTCACATCATAAAACACTCTTTTATTAAAGTTAATAATAAAGACTTGTTAAAATTTTAACAAATATTTTTGACTGTCAGACTTTTATGAAAGCCAAAGACTGCTACTGGAAAAAAATGTCAAATAATAGCCAAAGCTGAGAAAGTGGTCTGTCATAAGTTACATACCCAGTGATCTCTGAAGGAAAAATTAATAAAAAGTAGTGTTTATATACCTGCATTTTAAAGAAGTAAACAGTTCTTAGAATGTTGGCCTTAAGCTGGCAGAATATTTCCTTTAGCTTATTCTCTTATTTTAGACTATTTATAAAAGAGAACAAACAAATTGCCAAGTGGCCTCCTGTCAGATCAACAGTTATTTTACTCCACCCACATTCCATGCAAGTTTAAATGAACGCTATAAAATCTTAAGTCTATAGCCTGGGTGCACTTTCACCCAGGTTCTCCTATTGAGAACTCTTGATTAACAACTTATTGGCAGTTTAACCTTAATCTGCTTGTTAAATTATGTGTTGGTATGAGATACGAGGAACGTCTCATGATGATCACGTTTACCATTTATGCCATTTGCAACCATATGCTATTAACGAAATGGTCATTCTGCATATAGTTCACTCCTACCTAGTTTAGTCCATGCTATTATACTTGTGAGAGCATATCCAGATGCTGTGTTCTCTATTTAAAACAGTATTGTCCAATCAGAAATGTGTGGCCCTTCATTTATGGATACTGAATATATGTAATGCAGTGCTAGCCCAATATTTTCAATAAAGGAATTTATGCATTCAGTGTGATTTTCTTTCCTGAGGATTCATTCGACAAGTATTTATTGCATGCTGGAGCTTTTACTTGAATGAGAGGATGACGAAGTATCCAAGACTAAATAAATAAGGTCCAGTGCTCATGTTTTTATTGCTGCCTTGGAAATTCCCTCTTTGTTCCCTGTAGCCACTCTCCTATTCTTTCATCAGTTCATGAAAACTGCTCCTGTTACAGTTACTAGAGAAAACTCTTGGCTCTGTCTAGCAGTTTCTCTGTTCTTAATCCTAGCTGTTCTTTGAATAGTGACTTTCTTTTTAACATCTCTCTCTTGACCTACTTCCTAACTTCCATGAGAGACACCTTACCTTACCCTCTGATTTTCTTTGACATCCTGTCTCCTAGCCCCTAAAGATGAAGACCTCAAACAGTGTTCATTCCTTGCCAATTCCTCAGTTCATGAGTCCACTTCAAAAGATGTGGATGGGAGGGGGCAACCAAATGTCTCACCAGACTCTGTTGAAAATGATTTAGATACAACCCCATGCTACAAGCCACCAGGGACACCCTGACTAGTGTGAGAAGTATTATTGGCCTTCATTTGATTTCCCTTTCCTTAAATCCTTTTAAAGTTTTAGAGGCATATGAAACAGGACTAATAAAAGAAGTACTTTCCTTTTGAGGAAGGCATTAAGAATCTCTTAAACCAGAAAGGGAAGCTGAGATTCATGTTCTTCTTAGGATGCCTAACCTATTTTTACCAATATAATCAGATAAAGAAAGGTACGGAGGTCAGAAACCAAAGGAAGTTCCAGAAACTAAACAGCTGTACTGGCCCTTTGTTCAAGTATTAAAAGTACCTTTGACTACTTCCTTCTGCCCAATCAGGTCACTCACTCCTCATTCAGGGTAAGCCCTAACCTCAGAGCATCGCATCTTCCTACCTCCTTGCCTATGACCATTATCCATAGTGATCTGCCAACAAAAGGTATCTTAACTGAAAAAATGAGACTTTACAATTCACACCAAAATCTAAAATCCTACCGCCTCCACCCTTCTACTTCAGATCTCTAGTGGTTCAGAATAAAAACCAGACAGAGACTCCCTGGTATGGTCAAGCAAGCATCCAAATGGTGTTTTTTGATAGAATATCTTTGGAGACCTATTTATTTTCTAGATCAGTGCTGCTCAACAGAACATTCTACTCTGATAGAACTGTTCAATGAATGTGCGTTGTCCTGTACGGTTGCCACTAGCTTACCATACTGGTGTTGAACACTTGAAATGTGACTTGGATGACTGAGGAGCTGAAATTTTTATTTAATTCACTTAATCTTATTAATTTTATTTAATACTAAAGTATTTAAGTTTAGCCATATGTGGCCAGTGGCTGCCATATTGAACATCACAGCTTGAGATCAAGATTTGGCACAGCCAAATCGTTATGTCATCAGCAATGAACTCAGACTTTTACTCCCTCACCACAGAGAACCTTTAGTTCTCAGTACTTTGATTTGTCCCTGCCATTATGGATCCTTACAAAACATGGTACCACCTAAAGTAACAGTGTGTCTCACTGCTTAGGTCATCAACTAATAAAGAGACCAGAGGGTTCAGTTCCCTGATCACACTGAAAACTTAGATCTCTATAGCATTACTGATCCTCATCTTTAATGAAAAATAACGAAAAACCTCTCCCAGTGCCCAGGCCTTGTCTCAAATAAACATTTCCTGCCTTGGCCATCAGTATGTGTTTTGTTGCCATACTGGACATTCTACTGCCATGGCAGTCCTATAGGAGCCATACCCCTCACCAGGCACCCATCCACAATCACAATGAACCACAGGAAGGGAAAACAATTTATTCCTTACGCAGAATTGTGCCACCAGTTTCAGAATCATCAAGGAATAATGAACTGCCCAAAATGCCTCAAACAGTTCTATTCAGTGACCAACCTTCCTTATTAAGCTTGCCAGCTGGGATGCCCAACGGCCACCTGCACACCGAGAACCTGCCTGCCTGTGGAGAAAGTTTTCAATATCAGCCTGTTAGAATGAAGGGCGATCAAAAGGCATAAGAAAAGAGACGATTAGATAATCTTGGTGTCCTATTTCCCTATCAACAAGAGCCCATCATTTCATCAACCACTCCACTTCTAGGGTTACAAAAAGTAACCTTGATCTAGCTTAATATAACTCTGAGGTTACACTGAGGAATATGCTAAACAAGAAACACCTACAAGAAACATTCACATTCAACAAACTTGGATGATAAGGCATGTCTTCTCATGTCTCTGCAGCTAAAATGTCCTCCTTACCTTGACATATTTTGAAAACATGGGAATTCAGCCAATCAACTCAGCCTTTAATCCCCACAGCAGTCCATGGTTTAACCACAATCTCTACAGGCTGGTGGATCAGCCACCTTTTACCTAACAGCTGACTGAGATCAGCCCTTTCATCTTTGAAGATTCCAATTAACAGAAGATTTCTACAAAGATACGCTGTGTTGAGGTACTGTGTTGACCTTGAGAGCTGTTAAAAGGCTCCATTATTACTCCATACCCAGCAAGGCCTACTCTTGTTCTCTTGCAGCATTTGTTTCCCTCTTACATCCTCCAAAGGGTCAGAAAAGTGGGTAGGTTTGACCTGGGGTGTCCCAAGGAGAGGTGGGGGGTATATGACATATGTCCCTTTCAGCAGATCATACAACCAGATCACCCAGGTAGAACTCAAAGCTTCTAAAGACTTCGAAAGGCAACAAAGCATGGATTAAGGCATGGATTCTCTAGAGCCAGACAGTCTGGGTTTGAATCTCAGCTCTAGAGCTTACTAGCTATGTGACCTTGGTTAAGTAGTTTAACCTCTATGTGCCTCATTTTCCTGATCCCCATCATGGGGATAATAATAACCACCCCATGACTGTATCAGGATTAGAGCACTTAAAATAGTGTCTGACTTAAAGTAAGCACTGCTAAGGGTTAGATAAATAAATTAATGAAGAAATACTTCCCTCGAATGGAGGAATCAACTAATGATGTGAGAGGTGCAAAGGGAAGTTCATCTTCTAAGACAGCAACTTAGTTATGAAAACTACTTTCAGACATATTCAGTGGTTCCCATTTGCTATTTAGAATTTTTAAACTGAGGTTTTGTTTCTTTAATAATAAAAGTAATATGTGTTCATGGTAAAGTTTCCA